GTACCTCCGCCTTTCTGCATCTTGTGGGTCTGTGCCTGGTAGGCTGATGGTGATGGAGGATGGAGCCCCAACATCATATCGCTTCACCATCTTACGACAAACTTTTATCTTCACAAGGGCAGCGTGCACAAGCCCAGCTGCAAAGCCAACAGCCGGCTGGAGTGCCTCTGGGAAGAAGGAGGCGAAGGCAAAGTGGTCTGACATGTCTCCACGCCCCCTAGAGTGCCTCTGGTAGAAGCGCAGGTAAACCCACCCGGACAGAGCGCCGTACCCGCATGCTGCTAGTGGAGCTGAAGTGTCCAGCAGTCCTGCTAGCCGCAGGACGGCTATTGCTAGTAAAGCTAGCGCCGGGGCGGCTTTCAAACGTACTTGAGGAACTCGAAGCACTGTTGTGTCTCCCGCAGTCTGCTTCAGTGCTACAAGAATGCCCCCCAGAAAAGTGGGTGCACCATACACCCGCACAGCAAACAGGTAGTCCAGGTCAAAGGTGGCAGCGTAGGTGAGAAGATAAGAGAGTCCAGATAGGAGACCGGCTGCTACGTTTACCACAGCAAAGAAGATCAGCAGCTCCAGCGCTCCCCATAATGGCTCCAAAAGCCGTCCAGCAACCATCACAGTAGCAATGTTCACCGCCACGCCGAGAATGTGTTGCTCCACCACTGCATGGGTCAGAAGCGTCCAAATCCAGAAGTTTGGTGGAAAAAGGAAGCCAGGTGTGACGCCAAGCAGGTAAGGGGTGTTAGCTGCCCAGGAGAGCAGGTACATCAGGATCACTGTGGCACATATGGACTTGACCACCACGCTCGTGCTTGCGAGTGCACTAAAAAAGTGCTGCCGTGCCACTGGCAGGTAACGGTTCATCCTGAAGGATTCGAGTCCTCAGTTGTAAACGCTTCGGAAATGGCAAGCCTAAGAAATCAGCAGCTTATGTCAAATATGAGAGACACAACCAGGAGATGAAACCCAGACATCAACATGCAAGCAGTGTGACCTCGTCAACAGAGGTTCTGCAACAGAAGCAACTTTGGGATGGTGTCTTGAGATGAAGATTGTGGACAGAAAATGACAGTACTACCTCACACTGGTCTTACAGGTGATTGCAACACTTGTGGTGAGATAAGTAGATCTTATCCTCCCTCAAAGAACGACGAACTGTTGCTTTAAATAATATTGTTACCTAATAAATAATACAAATAATCTGATCTTCCAGTATGAGTACAAAATACTAAAGCTTTAGACAATGTAACGTTAACTTTCTTGCTAAATAAGTAGTTGACCTTACTGACAAAACATTATTTCGACTATCTACCTGCTCAGGTCTTCCTGTTTCTGCGTTGTTAATATATAATTCATCACTTATGCGTTTCTATCAGGGTCACCTGAGCTACTCTACGTTACCCGTTTATCGACACCGTCTGCTAACACTCCATAAACCTTAACTCCTCGATTTGTTTTAACACATTTTCATGTCAGTTTGACAGTTTCATGTCTTATATAAGTCTGTTGGTCTTAGTTCAGGCACTTGCCGTTTGTTTTAGGGGTAAAACACGCGAAGAAAGGCGAGCTATGAACAGCTTTCTCTCCGGTGGCATGTCCTCTCAGACCGGCCTGGAGTCGCAGTTCAGTCCGGGGATTTCCTCTCACAACAGGCCTCCAGGTAGCAGGTTTGAAGCCAGTAAGCGTGAATCCGCGTCAAGCGTCCCGGATTTTCTTTTTAATATCTTAACGTCGACATTTCTTCTGAATAAACCTTGTGTTTTGTTGTTTGAGATGTGGCGTTTCCAGCAAACAGCCACAAAGCACAAACATCAGATTTGCAAACGTCACCGTTCAGCTTTGCGACTGGGCGTGTCGTTTACGGCACTGTTGGGCTAAGACTGCTGGGAAATGTAGTT